CCTTTGCAAAGCTAGTTTCACATCCAGCCCACTTCCTTCCCTTTGAGCTACCCTTGAGGACATACTGTCTTCCTCAATAGCCATCTGTCTTCCCTCCTTTTGCTTTTCTTTCTTCAGTGACAGTCATTTTCTCAATAAATTACAGTCCTCCCTTTTTGTTGTTGTTGTTGTTAGTTGAGACGTATTTTTTATTTTGTTTTTTTTTTTTTGTTTTTTGTTTTTTTTGCTTTGGTTTTCAAGACAGGGTTTCTCTGTGTAACAGCAGCTCTGGCTCTCCTGAAACTCTTTGTAGAGTAACCTGGCCTCCAACTCACAGACTTGAGAGGAAATCTCAAACAGGCCAGGCTGGCCCAGCAGTGGTAGCACACTCCTTTAGTCCCAGCACTTGGGAGGCAGAGGCAGGCGGATCTCTGTGAGTCTGAGACCAGCCTGGCCTACCGATTGTGTTCCAGGACAGCCTCCAAAACCACAGAGAAGCCCTGCCTCGGAAGAGATGGGCGTGGAGCAGCTTTCTGCTTCACCTTCTTCCTCCAAACTTCCTCCCTCTCTTACCTGTAGGTCAGCCAGGGCAGTTTGTCCATCTCTGCATAAGTGGCTGCTGCTTGCTCATCCCCCCTTCCTCCATGCCATCTCTCAGTCTTTCTCTTCCTGCCCCCTTCCTCCCAGGCTAGTGGCACCAATATAGGAGGCCGGATCTTCTCCTGGTGTTTGAAGGGAAAAGAGAGAAAGGCAGCAAGCCAACTTTGTGGGTAGTACAGGATGAGGTTTTCTTGGCTTTCTCTGATATGTGAGCTCACCATTTAGGCTTTCTCCACAATTCTGTGATAGTAACTAATTTATGCCATGTGCAATCATTCCCACTTTTCAAAAATAAGTTAACATTTAATATGTATATATATGTATATATATATTTATTTAATTTCAGGGGTTGGGGATGTAGCTCAGTTGGTAAATGCTTGCACAGACCCTGGGTTCTATTCCTAGCACTGAGTAAAATCAGACATGGTAACACAGGACTGTAAGTCCTGCATTTGGAAGACAGAGGAAGGAGTTCTAAGGCAGCCTGGAGTACAAGATACTCTCTCAACATTCCCCTCCATTTTATAATGAATGTGCTGTGCAATTTGAATTTTAAGTCTCAAATGTCTGAACGATAAAATTCCAACTAAGGGCTGGAGAGATGGCTCAGCCGTTAAAGGCTAGGCTCACAACCAAAAATATAAAATTCCAAACAAATAACTGGTTGAGCCTAGGTACATGTCTATAATCTCAGCACTGGGGGGACTGAAACAAAATAAGTGCCACCCCTATAAAATTCTTTTTTCCAGTTGCCCTGGAACTTGATTTGCAGTCAAAGTTGGCCTGGAGCTACAGACATCCTCCTGCTTCTGTTTCCTGAGTGCTAGGGTTAATGCCCCATTTGAGTGTCTGTCTTTAACTTGAGACCAGTCAGCATACACAGCAGTCTACAAACATGAATACCCTTTCACCTAATAAGTCTGGTTCTTTTTTGAGAGAGTCTCATATAGCCTAGGCATGTGTCATGATGCCAGGTTTAGTAATTCTGTTAGGAAGTTGTTCTATAGTTATACTATATATCAAAAGACACACACACACACACACACACAGAGAGAGAGGGAGAGAGAGAGAGAGAGAGAGAGAGAGAGAGAGAGAGAGAGAGAGAGAGAGAGAGAGAGAGAAAGAGAGAAAAGAAGGAACATGGTGTGACACTTGGGAGTCAGAGGCAGGTGGTCTTTGGGCATTCAAAACAAGCATGGTCTGTACATCGAGTTTCAGGAAACCCAAGACTACATAGTGAGACCTTGTCTTATAACTAACCAAATAAATAAATGAATAAATAAATAGGGCTTGGGATATGCTCTATGGTGGAGTCCTTGTCATGTGTGTACAAGATCTTGGGGGCAGCCTCAACATTGCACAAAAACAAAGCAAACAAACAAAAAGGTGAATACCATCAAGATACATTGTATACATGTGTGAAATCGCCAAATAATAAAGTAAAACTATTCTTTTAAAAACATATTTTATCTCAGCTGGTGGCACATATCCAGCACTCAGGAGGCAGAGGCAGGCTGGACTCAAGTTCAAAGCCAACCTAGTGTACAGGGTAAATTCCAGGGCAGTGAATTCAGGGACATCAGGAGAGGGTATCCTAACTAGTTCCTATCTGAGCTACAGTTTTCAGCTGCCATGTGGGTACTGGGATACAGTCCAGGTCCTTTGGGGAACAGGCTGTGCTCTTTTTTTTTTTTTTTTTTTTTGGTTTTTTGAGACAGGGTTTCTCTGTATTGTTTTGGAGGCTGTCCTGGAACTCGCTCTGTAGACCAGGCTGGCCTGGAACTCACAGAGACCTGCCTGCCTCTGCCTCCCGAGTGCTGGGATTAAAGGCGTGCGCCACCAACACCTGGCTAGGCTGTGCTCTTAAACAATGAGCTATCTTTTAGGCCCCAACAGTCAACATTTTTTTTTTTTTGAGGCAGAGTATCTCTATGGCTTTGGAGGCTGTTCTGAAACTAGCTCTTCAAGACCAGGCTGGTCTTGAACTCATAGAGATCTGCCTGCCTCTGCCTCTGCCTCCCGAGTGCTGGGATTAAAGGCATGTGCCACCACAGCCTGGCAGGCCCCAACATTCTTACAAACATAAAATCAAACCAAACCAAAGACAGGCTAGAGAGATTGTTGAGTGGGTAAAATTACCTGCTCCCAAGCATGAGGACCCAAGTTCAATCCCTGAGACTCATATAGTGTAAGGAGAGAACAGATTCCCAGAAGGAGGCCTTTGACGTCTATTGCCATACTGTGGCCCCCGTTAACAAAACCCCAAACCCACAGACAAGCATAACGGGAAGACTGGTAATGGGGATGGAAGTGCACACCGGCAATCCCAGCACTTCGCACAGTCAACGTTGTCAAAATTAATGAATAAAATAAAAACCTCTGCACAAACAAACCAATATGTGGGACTGCCGATTGTGTTGCCCCCCTTCCAGTTCCTTCTGTTTGGCAGGACAGCAGTCTCCCTACAAGCATTTGTGCTAGCCTTTTTTTCTAGTTGGGGAAATGATTGCAAAGTTTGTGCTTTAAAAAAAAACCAGAAATTTAGTTCCTCATAGTTCTAGACTCCAAAAGTGATGTCAAGATGTCTGCAAGGCTGGTTCCTTTTAAGGAATGTAAGAGTCTGGTTTATGTCTCTCTCCTAGCTCCTGTGGCTGCTACTAACTTTAGTGCCCTTAGGTTGTAAGATGTATTGCTTCTATGTACATATTCTTTATACCACCCTCCTGTTTGTCAAACCAATCTTTTGTTTTTGTTCTTTCTTTTAATTTTATTATCATTATTTTGCTTTTAGAGAGAGAGTTTCTTTGGTAACCTTGCCAGTCCTGGAATTCTGCCTGCCTCTGCCTCCTTAATACCAGGATTAAAAGTGTGCATCACCATTCACCATGCCCAGGTTCAACTCTCTCTCTCTCTTTTTGTTTGTTTGTTTTTGTTTTTTTGAGGCAGCGTTTCTTTGTGGCTTTGGAGGCTGTCCTGTAACTAGCTCTTGTAGGCCAGGCTGGTCTTGAACTCACAGAGATCCTCCTGCCTCTGCCTCCCGAGTGCTGGCATCAAAGGCGTGGGCCACCACCAGCTGGCTCTTCTCTTTAAAGCTGGAAATATCTTCTGTTTTCAAGATATCTCAATTTTGCCGGCCATTTTCATTGTATGAACCATAATGTTTTAAACATAACCCTTTTCTGCTGGGTCTGAAAGCCATCTCTAGTCTCTTGCAAGATACTTTCTCTTTTGTCTTGGGTCTGAGGCTGACCTTGTACAGGGGAAGGAGACTTGGTACTTGGGTTGAGGGTCAAGTTGTGAAGGTCCTTTATGGACATTTCTGACTGTGATCTCGCTGAATCTTTAAGGAAAATTTATACATTCGGTATCTTAAAAGACCCGGGGTTCACAGATGGAATAAGCATTTTGATGGCTCCAATGGTAATGTTCTGAAACCTTAACAGCCAGCTCCACTTATATTTGCTTATTATAGAAGCCCCACACTCCTACGGGCGTGGTGACATAGGTTAACCTGTGTTTTGTTTGTTTGTGACAAGAATCCTGCTTTGCATCTCTGCCTAGTCTGGAACTCACGATGTAACCCAGCTGGCTGGCCTGGCAATGTACTTGCCTTAGGGTCCTGAACGCTGGGGTCTACAGGCATCAGCCACCACGCTTGATTTGTTTTGCCGCCTTGCCTCGCTTTTGCTCTACTTGTAGATTCTATCCCAGACCACTCACGTATTTGCCTGAACTGTTAAGAGTAGCATTAGGTTACAGCAGTAGGTTTACGACGTGCAAACAAAAAGACTATAAGGATCCCACTCAGGACCTCACGCATACTATGCGCCTGCCCTACAGCTGAGCTCTGTCCCCAGCCCCCACAATTTCACAGAAAGTGAAATTCAAGCGTCTCACTAAAGGAAGGACTATGAAATTTCCCGACAGCAGGGAGATGAGGCAAGCAAAAAGCGTTGGGCGAAGTGTAAGGTTCGGCAGCCAAACGTCAGCTGCGGTCGTGTGGGGAGACAACACATTAGTGTTTCAAAGGCTGGACTCTTTAAACCAAAATGATCGCTCACATCGCAGGGAATGGAAGACCAGCTGGGCCGTGGGAACAAAGGGTGTCTGGGGAGGTGCGAGTTTTCCCGAAGGCGGCGAACCGGGGGCTGCAGACACCGCAGTGCTCCGCGAGCCAACCGAAGCGCGCCGGCAGCGCAGTAGGAACGCGGCGCAGACAGCCGCACAGGGAGAGGCTGGCGCTGCCTCCCTCGAGGGGCGGGGCCAGGACCCAGCCTAGCGCAGTGAGTGGGCGGGGCCGCCTGGAGGCGGGCGTCTGGGGATTGGCCCTAGAGGGTGGGCGGGGCCGGCCGGCGGGGAGGAGAGCCCGGGAGGCCCGAGCGCGCACTCGCGCAGGCGCGGGCACGGCGGTGGCGCGCGCGTGCTCCGTCGGGCGGTGCAGCGGCTGCGACGGAGCCGGCCATGGTCGTGGGCGGTGGGCGGGTGTTACGCTGAGCCCCGAAGGCAGCAGGAGGCTGAGAGCCGGGCATGCAGGTGCCGGAGCCGGGCGGGTGCGGCCGCGGGAGCTGCTGATCGCGCTGCGGGATCGGGAGCCGGTGGCGGCGCGCAGGGCAGGTGAGCGCGGGAGGCGGCGCGGGCTGCGGCGCTGGCGGCTCGGGCGGGTGCTTCCTGCCGGGCTCGGCCGCGGCCGCGCGGGCTCCGAGGTACTAGGCGCCCAGGCCTCGGGCGGCGGACACCGAGCAGCGGAGAGCGCCCGGTGAGCGACTACAGAAGGCGCGGGTGCGGAGCGGCCCAGCTGGCGTCGGTGCGGACGCCCGGCTGCTGCCGACCCTCAGGTGCCTCGGCGCAGCGTTCGCAGAGCGATTCCGGGCTCTCCGGCTTCGGACGGGTCACAGTCCCGGTACCGCCGCTGACGGGTCCCGCGGCCTTGAGTGAAATACCCCCGGGAGATGTGAAGCGGGAACTGTGAATACTCACCTCCCGGGGGTTGCGGGAGGCCGAGCTAACCCTGCTGTAGGTACTCGGTGGACCGGAGCTCTTGGGAGCAGCTCGCTGTAGCATCCTTGCTGGCTCTGGCCAGTTCCATCGTGCAGGTTTGCATTGGGGGTAACATTGATTTCTGAACCGCTCTAGTACTGCAATACGATCAACTCGAGTTGCTTAATGCAGGAATCTGTTATCTTACAGCGGCCAGAGTGGGATTCTGTAGTCTCCTTAGAATTCTGTAGTTTATCTCTTGCAAAGACTGGCTTGGAAACTTGTTTCAGGTCGGAGTGAATTACTGCAACGAAAACCATCAAAATCACTATTTACACAAGGTGGAAGATGGTGGGACATGTAACTTGACTTGCTTTGTTGTTAAGCCCATCTCTGAAGTGACGCTTAAATTGTCACTTGTTACAGAGTATAAACACAGGAAGAGTATGGAAACATACTCCTTTTTTTCTGCATTGCTACATCCGAAGGGAGTGACAAGTGCTTTTGTAAACATGATTGTGGGCAGTATTACTTACTGTCTGGTGAAGTCATCATAATTAAATTAGATGAGTATTTATTCTGAAGTGTTGAATGGATGTTTGGAAATATGATTCCTAATGACATCTTCAAGGAGTCTGAGTTTACAGAAGTTTGTTATCACTTGCGGATTTTTGTGCTAATTTGTGTGTGAGGATTTTTGTTTTGGATTTTTATGACACAGTTTTGCAGTGTTAACCTCACTCTGTAGACTAGGCTGGCCTTGAACTTGCTTCCTTCTCCCTTGTCCTTGGATTACAGAACTCTGTAAAGTAGTGGGACTCTAAAGTGTTTGTTATGCAGACAAGAGGCTGAGTAGATGCTAAAGAGAAGAAACCAAAAAAAAAAAAAAAAACCAAACCAAAACAACAACAACAACATCAAAAAGCCTGGTGGGATCCACGTGTAATCCCTGAGCTGGGGAGGGACACACAGGTCGGTCCAGGGGTTTGCTGGTATATCTGCCAGCCTGGCAGAATCATGGCACCCTAGGTGAATGAGAGACCCTATCTCAAAAAAAATAAAAAATAAAAAATGACATGCTTGGAACCTGAGGAAGGACTTTTAGCCCCTCCCCCATATTTTTTTTTTAAAGCAAAACTGTGTAGCAACAGTCTATAATATGGCAGAGATCAAATGCCTTGGGTTAGGATAGTGCCCAGGTTTCAGAAGACAAAAATCTGAAAATGTAAAACTGAAGTTGTATTCACTGAAGCCACAAGGATTTAAGAAACATCTCTTACCCTTGTGATTAACACACTGAGTAGGACATTCCACCTTCAGGGTGTTTTTTACCAAGTGGAAAAATCAGGTTGTTTCCTTGTGGTGCTAAAGATCTTTGGCCTGACAAGTTGGATGTTGATTTGTTTTATTTATTTATTTTTTAATCTAGGGCTTTATTATGTTAGGCAAGTGTTTTACTTCATAGCTTATATACCCTTAGTCCCTTGTGTATTTAAAACAAACTAACAAAAACTAGAATATTGCTTTATAGCTCAGTCTGGCCTGTAACTTACTGTGTAGCTCTGGTTTCTCGTATCTCTAGGCAATCCCTCTACTTCCCTAGTTGTGGAATTCACCACACACCTGTAAACCACACCTGGTTTTATGCTCACCTGGGGATCCATCTCAGGGCTTCCTTGCATGCTAGGGAAGCTCTTTCATACCAGCTTGACTCCCCTCCCTCCCCTCCCTTCCCCTCCCCTCCCTCTCTTTGCCTTACCTATTTCTGGTGTGTGCATGCTGAATATTGACCCCAGGTCTACACACATACTAATGCACTTAGCTAATATCCCTAGCCCTGCTTTTCTGCTTTTACTTTTATTTAGTTTTTGCAGGTTGATTCATAAAGGTTTCTGATCAACTTGTTTTGTGAATGTCAGCAAGTTGTATGGAAAGCAAAGGTGACTCCTGTAGCCTAAGTGTTCTTTAAGCCTTCCTTGTCTGCTTATGGATTGTCGCTTGTCACTCCTGCTACCCACTATGAAAAGGCTAAGGGTCAGAAGTGACTCCTTGGTTTGGTTCTAGACCTTGACCTAAGTCAAAGTCAAAATAGCTGTGGCTGTAAGTGTTTGGCCCAGTCTTTTTAAGCATCAGATTTTTTGTTGTTTTTTTGTTTGTTTACTTGTTTTGTTTTTCTGAGGCAGGATTTCTCTGTAGCTTTGGAGCCTGTCCTGTGTAGACCAGGCTGACCTTGAACTCACGGAGATCTGCCTGCTTCTGTCTCCTGAGTGCTGGGATTAAAGACATGGGCCACCACCGACTAGCTTGTTTTTTATTTTTCGTTTTTACATTCCAACCAAACTCCCCCTTCCCTCTTCTCCCCCTAGGCCCTTAGCCCCCATTCACTCCTCTTCCTTTACAGATTTTTAATATATAGAATCTGGATAAAAAATGTGGCAGATATGAAGAGGTCTTGGTGGAGGAGATGTATGGTCTGAGAATCAGACAATGCCAAGGAACTTTCTAGGCCTTAGAGTTGTAAGGCTTTCTTCCCAGCCAGGTGGTGATGGTGCACATCTTTAATCCCAGCACTTGGGAGGCAGAGGCAGGCGGATCTCTGTGAGTTATAGACCAGCCTGGTCTACAAGAGCTAGTTCCAGGACAGCCTCTGAAGCCACAGAGAGACCCTGTCTCGAAAAACCAAAACACAAAAAGGCTTTCTTCCCTCTTTCCTTTGCCTTCACTCCTTGAGAGCTGAAAACATCCAAAATCTCTGAGGGCCTCCTGGCTATTCATTTCTTTACCTGTGTTCATCCTGAGTGATGTCATTCTCTTCCCTCTTTAAATATTATCACATGGTGTTGACTCTCAGATTCTTATCACCAGTCCTGACTGTCAAACTTTGCTATATCTAGACCTATACTTCTTTTCTTTTTGGTCGGTGGGGGTCTGGATAGGATGAGGGTATTGTGATCCTTGCTTAACAAGTGCTCTACTATTGTGCTACTCTTCTGGCCTCTGGCTGTGTTTATAGGCATCCTTTTTTATTTTTATTTTATTTTGGTTTTTCGAGACAGGGTTTCTCTGTGGCTTTGGAGGCTGTCCTGCTAGCTCTGTAGACCAGGGTGGCCTTGAACTCACAGAGATCTGCCTGCCTCTGCCTCCCGAGTGCTGGAATTAAAGGTGTGCGCCACCAATGTCTGGCCCTTTTTTATTTCTAAAGTTTATTTTATGCTATGGGTATTTTGCTTGCTTGCTTGCTTGTATGTATGTATGTATGTATGTATGTATGTATGTATGTATGTGAACCATGTGAGTGTCTGGTTGCCAGTGGAGGCCAGAGAGGGCATTGGATTCTCTCTTTGGTTCTGGAATTGCAGTTGGTAGATTTTGGAAGTAAATTTGAAAGGGCTGAAGAACTGGTTATCTATAGAATAGAGGGAACAGTGATTGAAGAGGCGATTTGTGAATATATCCTTGTAATGTTGGTACTTACAAGGCTGAGTCAGGAGAATCACCAAGAATTCAAGACTAGCCTGCTTTACACATCAGTTCTAGGCTACAATGACCACAGATAGAGAGAGACATTGTCTTTAAAAAACAACAAAACAAACAAAAAAACAAACAAACCAGGAACTGAAATCAGGTTCTCTGTAAGACCAGTAGGTGCTGTTAACCCCTGAGCTACCCTTCAGCCCCATTTGTAGGCATTTTAAATGCAACACTGTCAGGACTGGCTATTAACTCAGTGCATAGAGCACTTGCTTAGTATGGAATTAAGTTTCATCGTGTGTGTGTGTGTGTGTGTGTGTGTGTGTGTGTGTGTGTGTGTGTGTGTAATATTCAGAGAACTTTTCTTTTGTTTTGTTTTTTTTTGAGACAGGGTTTCTCTGTGTAACAGCCCTCCCTAGCTGTCCTGGAACACACTAGGCTAGCCTCCAACTCACAGAGATCCGTCTGCTTCTGCCTCCCTGAGTGCTGGGATTAAATGCACACACTACCACAGCCTGGCTAAATAGAGAACTCTTAATTTACAGTTCCCAACCTATTTATTACTCGTTTTTGGCTTATGTTGAGACAGAGTCTCCTAGAGCCCAGGTTGACGTTGAACTCCTGATCTCTCTGCCTCCCTGTTCCACGTGCTGGGATTACCAGCATGCACTTCCGTGCCCAGCAACCTATTCATTTTAAGTGTCTTCCTGTCCTCGCTCTCTGCTCTTGAGTGAAAACTCCAGTGTTCATACATTTTTAGGCAGTGTCTTTCCTACCCCACTTTCTACCCTTGGGTGAAAAACTCCAGTGGTCAGTATCACTCTGGAAGTCACTGTGTAACCCAGGCTGGCCTTGAACTCTTGGTGATTCTCCTGTCTTGACCTTCCAAGGGTTAAGATTACAGATATGCATCTGCAAATCACCTCTTTGCCTTACTGTTTCTTCTACCTGCACACACAGTTCTTTAACCCTTTCTAATTTACTTCTAAAATATATCCGGATTGAATTTTCTTCTCATTCCTACTTGGGACATCCGTGTTCTTCCTATGTTGTAATTTCTTGTCCCTCTTCCCCCTCTCCCCCTCCCCTCTTCACTCCTTCCCTCTCTTGCCTTCTGCCATTCTTTTTACATCTGGCTGTGTAGTCCAGGCTGACCTGGAGCTTAT